CCGGCTTCCCGCCTGGCGAAGAGGAGCTACCGCTGCGTCCTTTTTAATTTTTTTTGCCACCAGCCACCCTCCCGGTCGCCATTCCCCCCACGAAGGGCGAGTGCTCTTTTCCGCCTGACGGGAGGGAAAGTGGCCCCTCACGCCGGGGCTCCACCGTGTCCCGCGTCGCTCGCTGGGCCGCAGCTGCGAGGGGGGGGCGCTGAGGGCGCCGGAAGAGCCTCGCCTCTCGCCGCCTCGCCACTCCAGAGCTTCCATGCAGGGGACCGAAGGCGAGCCAGGCAGCGTCAGGTAAGCCACGGACACCCCACACACACACACCCTGGCGCGGCGATAGGCGCGGGCGCCCTTCCCGAGATTTGAACCGGGAGACGGGGGCGGGGACGCCGCTGCCTGTCAGGTGAACCCTCGGGAAGGATTATTGGACTGGCTTTGCTTGAGGAGAAAGTTAGGGCGGCTGAAAGAAAAGTGAAAAAGAGGCATTTTGAAAAAACGCCCCCAACGGAAGCGTCTCTGCCTCCCTCAGGGCTCCCAGGAACACACACCCTCCAAACCCCGCCGAGGTCTGCCGAGCTTGGAAAGTTTGGAAAAGTCACACCGACTCAGCCCAGCCGGGGATACGCTTCTGTTGAACACCACCACCACTACCACCACCAAGAGGGAGGCAGGGTTTCCCCTCGTACGGTGGCGGTGTCCTCAGAAGTGCCCGTTATTTTTCTCCTGGGAGAGGAGGATTTCTAAATGCCTGGGATGCGGGTTTTAGGCAGCATCAGCAATCCCGCCATCGTGAACTGCCAACTGGGGTTGAAACTGCTTCCGCTGAATACAGTACCTGCAATGTGCAGGAAGAGTTTTGCCTTCCTTGCGAGGCTGCAGCTGCACAGAGTTTAAAAAGGGTCACGTGGGGTTTTGTGCCTGCGAGGGGGTCTCTTTGAGTTCAGTCTCTGGAAGGCAGGCAGGCGCTTCCACCGGTTTGTCTAGTTTCCTCTTGCGGGTACTTTTTGATGCTTCGGAGTTGACTGAAAAATACTTGATAGGGTTAAGGGATCTCTGTCACATAATGATACAATTTTGCTTTAGGATACATAGTCATGCACAGACAATATGACAACAAGCCCTGTGAATTTAGTGTTGTTTACTTCTGAGGAAACACACTTGGGGTTCGGCTAAAGGTAAAGGTAAAAGTTCCCCTTGATAATTTTTGTCCAGTCGTGTTCGACTCTAGGTTTCCAAGCCATAGAGCCAGCGTTTGTCCGAAGACAATCTTCTGTGGTCACGTGGCCAGACTTAGACACGGAACGCTGTTGCCTTCCCACTGAGGTGGTCCCTATTTATCTACTCGTATTTGCATGCTTTCGAACCACTAGGTTGTTGGGAGCTGGGACAAGCGGCGGGCGCTCACTCCGTAGCGTGGATTCGATCTTACAGCTGAAGATCTACCTTACAGCACAAAGGCTTCTGTGGTTTAACCCAGTGGTCCCCAACCTTGGGCCTCCAAATGTTCTTGGACTACAGCCCCCAGATGTCTTCACCACCACTTCTGCTGGCCAGGATTTCTGGGAGTTGAAGTCCAAGAACATCTGGAGGCCCAAGGTTGGGGACCGCTGGCACAGCGCCACCACATCCCTGGGGTTCGGCGATTAACAGCTATATTCTGTAGAGTCATCAGTAACTCAACAGTACTAGGTTTTAGTTCTGCTTAAACATCCAAGAGGAACTATTATTTAAAAATGTCTCTGTTTTGTACCTAGATAATACAGTAGGACCGCGGTATCCGCGGGGATCAGTTCCAAGCCCCTTCCATGCAGAAAAACGTGGAAGTATAGAACACTATACATTGCATGGTCTCTGGCTCCCTCTAGCGGTCGGTTTTTAGAAAGTACACCCTGGAGGTTTTATTTAATATTTTCAGGCAGCATATAGGTGAACCAGCAGATAATGATCCTGTGGATAGGGGGTTCTACTTTAATGACTGTTTGACTAAATGTCACATTCAAGATATAGCAGTACCGTGGCTTTGTGTGAGAATTTGTGAAAAATGAGATAGCATGTCTCAGGAGCCCTAGGTATTGTATGTAGTTATTCTATCTTCTCTCTCTTGTTGGAGGGCGTGCCCAGTAATTATACCATAAAATATGGTTTTGCAAAAAAATTGGTGTCAGTACATAGGTAGGTAAAATGAGGAAATTAACACTGACAAAAATATTTTTGAATTTGAGGGGTTTACCATTTTGCTCCTTCTGAATGTTCTTTGTTAAGTCAATGAGATACCATTCTTGCCAGACAAAAAGCATAGCTTCAGTGATGGTGTTATAGAATGCTTAATGGACAACGCAGACTTGATTCACACAGAGTGACAGCATGACTGTCAATTACAAACTTATATTGATATATTGAAATTAACTGCTTAATGGCTTAGGCATCTGGGTGTGGAGCCAGAGGATGGGAGTTTGATTCCTTACTGTGCCTTCCTGACAGGGGTTCAACTCAATGATCCATAGGTTCTTTCCAGCTTTGTTGTTCTGGAGGTTCTTACCATGACAACATTGTTTCTCTAATTGATATCAGCCTATCATATTTTCTGTGTATAAGATGCTACTTTTTCAAAAAACCATTACACTAGGGCTGTCTTATACAGAAGCAAGCTGAGAACACAGAGAGAACAACACTGCCTGTACCTTGCCTCTGTAAATAGCTTTCAATCACAAGGCTTAGCTGCCTCCAATCAGGAGACATAGCTTCCTACAGTCAGGAGACTTACGGAATTGACATCAGCTGATGCTGAACAAACCAATTGGAACACACCTCATTGCAGGTGGAGCCTGTAGGCTTTGATGCAACAGGGACTCCTAATGTCCGAGCGTTCTGAGCCCAGAGGCTCAATTCTCAAAGCTAGGTTTTCTTAATTTTGGGGTTAGAAAAATGGGGGGGGGTTGTCTTACAAATAGAAAAATATGGTACTCCCTCCCAATGCCTTAGGCCTCAAACCTAAATTGGAAGTAGTTTGGTACTGCATTTCTTCACAGTGCAATAAAAAGCTTTTTTCCCTATTCAAGGCATGGAAGGTAGAGCTGGAAATGGTAACAAATTATTGTTTAGCTGTTTGGCATCCTGTAAATCCTGGAAGTTCTTTTGTTCAAGGATATCCACCTTGAACTCAGAAAAAAAGTGTTTTGGGAAGCTATAATAATCTTCTGGCATTTTTTTGAATATTGCCAGTTCTGAGGTGAATTGTGATTTATTTCTGTTCTTTTGAATAAACATAAATATGTTTGTCTTGTGTTTGATCATGGGCTAGAGGTTGGAATTCTTTGTTATAACTCCCAGAACTGGAGTTATAGCTCCTGGTTATGCTGGCTGCAGGGTTCTGGGCATTGTAGTAAACACAAAAAGAAATATATTCGCTAAGGCTTTCACGGCCGGGATCTAATGGTTGTTCTGGGTTTTTCCGGCTCTTGGCCATGTTCTGAAGGCTGTTCTTCCTGACGTTTCGCCAGGTACTAAATCTACTACAGAAAACTGAACTACTTTGCATCAGAGACTGGCGAAATGTCAGGAAGAACAACCTTCAGAACACGGCCAAAGAGCCCAAAAAACCCAGAACAACCAAAAAAAGTAATGTTTGTACTGTACCTGTATGCATTTCAGTTTTCACTGACCCCCAATAATAGCCTCAGGGAAGCACCCATGATAGCAATCTGCCAAGTGATTTAACATTCATGCATATGTTGAAGTGGGCTCTAGTCTGCAAAATTGTATGCCATAATTTAATGTTTTCATGTTTAAGGTGCCACAAGTCTCTTCATTTTGTTTCACCCATTAAAGAGGTACTAAATCTACTACAGACAACTGAATTACTTTGCATCAGCAAGAGTTTCTAGAGTAACAGATGTACTAACAAAAAGGAGTGTGTGTTTAAGGCCAAGGAAGGTCAGGAAACAGCTGGTTTAGGACATATGGTGGAAGCTGTTAATATCAATGAAATACTTGCATGAAAAATAGTTGGGTCTTAACATTTTTGGAAAATGTGGCTAATGACCTTTCTCACAATCTTTTCCAAATGTGTACCTTTTACTTCACTAGTATTATAATACTGTTCTATTGTCAAGTGACAGTACTAAAGACATTCCTCCCCCACCTTGTCTGTGCTTCCTGTAACTACTACTTATCTTGTAGCTGATAACGTGCAAAAATTAAGCAGGAGTGTTTTCCCATCTTTGTATCTCTATACTGTGTTTTGTTACTGGTTCCTCCCCTTCTTATTTCTGTTGAGAAATCCATTAGATGTATTTCTTGGCTCCTTTTGCCTTACTTGTTATGCCTTCTGTTTTCCCTTACACTTTTTAGCAACTACAGTACTTACAATCATATTTTTATATTGATAATCCAGAGCTATGTCTTTCTATTCCCAACAACAATAGCACCTTTAACAAATCTCTCTCTGACTGTAGTTCCATTTTCATATCTTTTTTTTACAATATAGATTAATTTTAATACTTAGTTTTTAGGATTTTTCTCTCTTACTCAGTACTGTACAGTGTTTTTACTCAGGATTTTTCTCTCCTACTCAGTATTTCGCCCCTTTCACACATTTGTATTTTGAAACTTCTTTCTTACCTTAATCCTTTGATTCTTTTATTTCTGCTATAGCTAATCCTGATTCCCAAATCTTGAACATCACTGAGCTTTGTAGTATCAATTGAAAAAGCAAATTCTGCTTAATTGTATTACTTTGTTTGTGCTTGATTATATTAGTACTGTTGTATCTCACTCCTCTGTCTTTCTTCAGCTTCTTTCCTCTATTAAACTGAGAGCTTGTTTCCACCCCTACTTAGATGAGGAAGTCCTCAGGACCTTGGTTTATGTGTTGGTGAGCTCCAGGATTGACTAATGCTATCTATGTGGGGTTTCCCTTGTGACTGACCCAGCAACCACAGTGGGTCCAGAATGCACCACCAGACTGGTGGCAGGTATAAATAGATTTGATCACATCTCCCCAGTCCTGGCTCACCTACACTGGTTACTGGTCGTGTCCCAGATCAAATTCAAAGATTTGATGCTTACCTACAAGGACCTTCACAGTCTGGGACCTCATTACTTGTTGGAATGTCTCTCCCTAAGGTCATCCTCCCATGCCCCCAGATTCTCTCAGCTGTGCTCCTCCAGGTGGCTATGCTGAAGGAGGCCAGTAAATCTCCAACAAGAGGTCTGGCCTTCTAGGCAGTGGCACCAACTCTTTGGAATTGCCTCCCAGGAGAGCTACGCCTAGTTCCTTCCTTCCCTAGTTTTAA